GAAATGGTACGTTTTCCAGCGAGGAACAGACATCAGAGTACCGAGAAAGCACGGCGGTAACAGATAGGCGAGACGTAACGGCGGGAGACCGCCTCGACGGTGTCTCTGGATCAGATGTGAAATTCCTACCTAAAATCGAGGATGAACGATGATGATTTCAACGGAAATCAGGCGACTTAGCGAAGGAAACGAATTTCGTCACCGGTGTTCGATACAAGGAATTGACACCAACGACCTTTTGAACCGGGCCACGTTTAGCTAGTAACTGGAATTTTTTTTAAGGCTACGTAGTTACATTCAAGTATTGAGATATGTAAGATGCCAATAACCATTGGTTTGTAAAGTAGGTTCCAATCTAAAAGAGAGACTTCTCGTGAAACAATCTGAACAGAAGATTTCATTACAAGTAGGAAAACGTATATGATATGAATTGCCCCTGTTTACAGCTGAGGCAGCCCCTCTCCTATGGTACCGTAGTCTCGCTACCACTTTAATATCATATTTAATATGCCTCTGAAAATCGAGCCTATGGCGGTCTCAGCAAGAGAGAAGAGTAAGAGAGAGTCAATATGTAGGCGACAGGAAGAAGAAAATGAAAGATTGTTAGGCAAAGAAATGACTAGAGAAACGGCGAAAAAGTGAAGAGATGTACAAAGACAGAGAGATAGATAGCAAGATGTGAGACCGGATGACAAATGAGGCACAGGAGAAAAACAACATGGGGGAAACGTACATAAATAACAACAGTGGGAGATAAGAAGCGTAGGAAGATTATGGAGAGACCCTAAGAGCAAACATAAAGTTCGATAATGTGTGCATTTGTAGGTGTTCTTGATCAAGCCATTGCTGAAAAAAGACGCCTTCTCCACCATTGTAAGACCCAAACACAAGAGTGATGGAAAGGACAGCTATTGGGCCCTATAATAATGAGAAGAGCCACATTTAGTGCTGCCATCATAGTTAAGAACTATGATGATTATACATGTAAATCTTCAAAGTTCGGAAGAGTCAAACTGATACTCAATCCGCTTAGTCAAACACTATTGTAACCTCAGTAGACAAAACTTAATGCACAAATTTTTAGTCGCATAGTGAAGCGCTTCGCTTAAACACTCACCATTTTGTTCTAAGGCCCTACACTTACTATTGGAATCTGCTGAGGTCGCGAAAGTGTTTGAGTGAGTGGATTGCGTGTCAATTTGACTCTTCCGGATTATGAAGAAAGGGAAAGCGCCGAAACATCAGCCGGTATGTATAGAATCAACCTTGCTGTAAACAACCTCATGTTCCCTCATCAAGAAGACACTGTAGTAGTAATCAATGTCAAGGTTAAAAGAAAATTCATCACGAGGATTTGCAGAAACGTGACTAGTATTGTGATGGCAACCAAGTACTAGCATTCTTGAGACCATAAGGCGATCGGTTAAAATCTCTCACGAAATGGAAGGACTCTTACCTAAAGTCTGTGGTAACAATGTGGTTTGAAGATTCTGGAAGTTCTTCATTCTTCACTTCCATTTCCATTAATTATCAAGTTATTAAAGAAGACATCAGTGAGATCTTTATTCCTTCTCGTCGCTATGTCGGAGCTAATTAATGGACTGGCTAATTCGAAGGGCACGAAGATCATTACCCTTTGTTCTAGACTCATTGTTTCCTCTGTTCATGGAGATCAGCAAGCTGTAAGCACCTTTCCCGGCCTTATCGTTTCATTAATTTCTTCATGATTAAGTTTGTTTCAGAATGAAAATGTAGGTATCGTCCTCAGATTGGGTAATCATGTTGTGGCAATGAACCCTCCAGTGTACATCGCAAGTCTACACTCAAGGACACTCGCCAACTATGACTGGACCGCAAACCATTGTGGATTGGGTATTTAACAACTCAAACATAGCCATTAACATCATTTGGCACGTGACACTCGACCTGCATTGGGTCTAATTCAAGTGGAAACGATGGCAGCTTTTAGATTTAAATCAATATACCTCAGATCACGATTCACTAACTGAAATAGCAGTCACTAGATTCTTCACACCCTTGTTAATCAGATGTAAGCCTTTTTGTTCTATCAGGACCAATCAAATTCTTATTTCCCGGAGCCTAAGAAATGCCCATGTTCATCAAAGGGTTATTGCTGGTCGTTTTTTCTACGCTTAGGTTGGGAACTTCACAGAGGCGAATTTTGTTCCTGAATTTTTGAATGTTTCATTCCTACACAAACTTCAAGATAGAAATAACATGGTATAAATTATTAACAAGGGTGGATAGCAGAGTGGTAGTGATTTCCGTCATCACCAGCATGGTGCTAGTTTGATTCCACTCCGAGCTAACCAAGCCTCTCATCCCTCTAGGGTCGGGAATTTGGTACCGGACTTGTCTGGGAAAGAATCACTCTCTGCAATCCAATTGGGGACGTTCCAACCCGGCTATCTCGGGACTTCAGGGAGAACTGCTCGACCTTGACCAGCAACGACATTCAAGACGAAATGAAAATCCTCAAGCAGCAACCGAAGCCACACGTAAAGTTGGAAGATCTTCGTGGACAATGGATGCGGGAAAACGAATCGAATGTGAGAAGTGCTGAGATCCGCACAGTAGACGTGAAGACGGGCTAAATAAAAAAAAATTATTAATACCATAAAGGTAATAGAGTAGTTCCATCCTATAAGTCTGTCAGTTCTTCAGGTAGTCTTGCAGTCGATAAAATGTTGTTAGTCGCCGAAAAGAATAGCGGGCGCCATATTATAAATCTTTTAAAAACTCAGTCGGAGGTCTGTTGATGGGAAGGAGGAAGGAAATCCTTTCCTTCTTTCATTGTTTCTGGCATTTCCCATTAGATCCACCTTAAAAAGGGATAGAATCAATGCAGAGGTATGGAGATGCAAAGAACCCCGCTATCATAATCATAATCTCTACGAGATTGTTATTGGAAAGTGGAATGTCATGTTCTACCTTATAAGAACACTTGAAGAATTTCGCCAAATTGAAGCGGAATAACAAATGTAGAGAATGGAGAGGCTGGTTAAGTCTAGCAACTCGGGAAATACCGTCTGTGATAGGGCAAGAGCAAGACTCTCCGCGTTGATCAATTTTTTAAAGATGCGCCATGCATTCAACTCGATTGCTAGCATCGTAGAGGTAATCGAATGCATATTTGGCCTATCAGCTCACTTCTGGTGACCTATCGATGTATCGACCCAGTGCTGCTATCTTCCCAGACAAGTCTGGTACCAATTTGCGGATTCCGGAGGGATGAAAGGCTTGATAAGCCATGGGCGTGGGGATCGATACCATTTGTATTACATGGCGCCTCCGACCATTACGCTACATGGGCCCGCACCATCGGTGATACATGATGGAAAATAAATACTTTTTCTAAGTATAGAACATAGAAATCCTTCTGATGTACAATGCAAGGGTGATATTAATCACAATTTTAACTTATTATTTACTGCCTACTCTTTTTAACGGCACAGTACACATTGTGAAATATAAATGCTGGTGGCAAAAGGTCGATAGACTAGCTGAGATACAGCCGAAACGAAGGACCCGCGTGGTGTGGTGGCGAACGCGCTACTCCCAGGAAAGGACAATAGCGCGTTCGTTCCCCACCGCATACACCTGCGGTCCGGAGTTTTGCAAATATCTCAGCATCATTGTCCGAGGTCGGCAAATTGGTACCAGACTTGTCTGGGAGGATAGCAGCACTGGCTTGATGGATCGGTAGACTACCGCGAGTCATTGTAAAGGCCAGATATGCATTCAATCACCTCTAATGATGCTTAGTTAAGTCGGATGCCTGGCGCATCCCTCAGGGGTTGATCAACGCCGACAGCATTATCCTTTTTTATCCGACCTGTTTCCACAAGTATTGCCGATCGCAACACCTGTTCCATACTCTTCCTTACGTTATACTTATTACCCACGGTTTTCAGATTTGTCGGTGGGTTTGGCTACAACTTGTACACTTTTTCCTTATCATGAATATGCTTGAATGCTGTCCGAACTGCCTGTCTTTGGAATCCAAGGAAAAATCCTTGACCGAGTGCTCCGAGGTCTTCGACCGAGTGCTCCGAGGTCTTCGCTAAGAGCATCCGCCTGCTTCTGTGGATCGGAAAGAGTATTTGCCAGACAGATCTGCTAGGAGCTCGCCAACTTGGTACGGGTGAGGATCTAGTTGGCCCGATCCACTTAATCGAACATCTCAAGGCAATATGCGAACGAATGGGATGGATTGAACTCTGTACAATGGGAAACGACAGGTTTGGAAAACCGACATACAGACCTCTTTACGAAGGCCTTGAAGTGATGGCAGGACGTCTGTCGCAGTTATATAGCGAGAGGGTTCGTCTAACAATACTAGGACGCTAAAACGACACCTGGTCGCCTCAGTCGACAACCAATATGACCACGTGCATTACATTAGAATGACACTTCCCATAAGTCCCATTATGAAGGGTAGATGCTAGATGCGTAAGATTGTGCGCTCTATTGATAACCTGAGTAATGCAGGGAGAAGGAAATCTCGTCCGGAAATCGTTTTGAATCGTTGCTGCTTATGAAGGAACGGCCTTAAGGCGCTTAAGCGATGGCGACCGTTGATGTTTCTGAGATCCTAAGAGCTTCAGCGTCGTCCTATGAGGTATGTTGTGCAATTTTAAGGTTGGACCTTGTCTTTTCGTCGCGTGCTCCGTATTTTCTTCAAATCATTGTGGCATTCCGTACAGAACATTGGTAAGTCCTATGATTTCGGAAATAATATAGCCACCAGAGTTTATTTCCTCTGAAAAAAATGAACCCCATATGATGTCTATCAGTGTTATCGTAGGTTTTATCAGCTGAAAAACAGCGATAACTGTGGGTAAAACGTGTGTTTTCCATTAATTGGTCCAGTGCAGTGTTCTTCCTTTTAATGTACTGGCATAAACTAATCATATTCAGAGAAAAATGACCATCGTAGATCTCGAGCCAGTTGGAACCTCAACAAGATTGTTTGGTAACCTTTTCAGCCAGCGAAAAAACGTCCTTGTCCGCCACCTACGGAAGTTCAGCGTCCACCTGTGGATCCAGCACATGCGAATCCTGAGGAGATTTTAGCAGCACTTGAGCAGGATTCTACTCAGTTGGTCACCGTTGACGATGTTTATATTAGGAAGCTAACTTCTCAAGTACGTATCTCAGTGATCTCACTAATATGTAATGATCATCCACGTACGTTATTACAGTTTCTCCAAACAATTCGTTGTTTCGATTTTTCATGCTTTTAGTTATTCGTAGGATTTTATAATTTTTCCCTTCCATCGGTTTACCGCGTCATTGTGCCTGGAAGGTGTTCCCAGGTGTGTAGGGCTGCGATGTACACCTTGGGAATTCATCCCTTTAGCACAGTTTGTCATGCTGAGGAGTCGGGCGTTCCCATCAGAAAGCCCAGCTAAGAGTAAACCAATAATAGGATCCACCACCGTCCTGATATCAAACTAGTCGCATGGTAACAAATCTCCCTCTGATCCACAACGGCGGCGACTACCTGTGGTGGCGATGACCTGGGGCAGACTTTGGTCAGGCTGACCTCGGGTTTCCAGGAGGCCACAGCAGCTATAGCAGCAAAAATTTGGAAAAATGAAAATAACTCTGGGACCGCACAACCAGTGAAGACGGGCTATCCAAAAATCCAAGTAATTAAGAATACCTTTCTACCCGTATGCCACTTTGCGAACCCCGTCTTTCACTCTTCTTTGGATCTATGCCATTTGAAAATTTTTAGTGCAATCTCTTAAACGGATCCAAACCTACTGTTGAAAGCCTCTAATTTCTTTACGGCCTTCCACACAAGCTATTTCTAGTACTCTACATATTCTTCCGTGCATACAAAAGCTCAAAATGACTTGCATTTTTTTTCTGTTGAAGTTTAGTGATTTCTAGAATGAACTATCATGTATTAAATCTAGTTAGAGAAGAAAATCCTGAAAAATCGAGAGATGCGGACAAAACATGCCGAAGATCCAAAGAAATTTATGGATTCAGAAATAGAGCTTGACACTGCAATACAGGTATATTTATGTTATTAACGTCTTGCAATTCAATAGATTTAAATGTAGAAGTCCTTTAGGAAATGCATGTTTTGGCTACACAACCAGAATTTTATGGGTGTTTCGTGGATGCTGGAGGTCCGTCGCTGGTGCTTTCTCTACTTATTCATGAAAACTCGGACATTCTCGGCGCTACCGTGAACTTACTTCAGGTTTTTACTTTATGTACAGCTTGTCTTCTTTGTGAGTTATGTAAAACCGGTTTATTTTAAGGAGTTGACCGATGTAGACATTTTGAACGAGAGTGAAGAAGGTGCCACTCAGCTCATTGAGAGCTTAGCTGCTGGTCGTGTTATCGAATCGTTTCTCACTGCATTTGAAAAATTGGACGAAAAGGTGAAAGATGACGCTGACGCCATTCATAATGCTCTCAGTGTCGTAGAAAATGTGAGTTCACTTCAGTTTATGTTACAATTTTTTCTCTGTTGTTTTTAAATCCTAATGTGGCGGGTGTAGAGCAGTGGTCGAAGGCGCCCTGCAATACACATGGGATCGATCCCAGCGCCTCAGGCCCACTAAACCTTCCATTCCTTTGGGGTCCTTTTTTTTTCCTTCGAGTCTTTAATTTTCTGAGATAACTAGTTACTGTGAACTTATCTAGATGATTGATTTCCGACCGGAAACTGCTGAAGACTGCGTTAACCAAAACCTATTCCTCTGGTTACTTCGCAGAGCTTGTCAAAAGGTACGTAATTCTAAGGAAAGCAGGTATGTCTTGTTTTGGGAGATACCATGCTAACATAGCTGTCTAACAAAACACGCTGTTAATCTAGTTGAGGAAGATTTAACTTTAAGCGGTGAGGTAGCGGCACCCTACCAGAGCACTTGGTGATTGTTCTGCCGTTTAGTTCCATTCCTTTACTAATCACGATCTCTTATACTTATCTGTTGAGTTATTGAATCATTAATAGCAAGTGTTTCTTGAACATAATAAGTAGAAGACATTGATTTGAGCATCGCTTTTGCCTGGAGATCGTTGAACCTACCAATGCTGTATTCATTTTCTCAGCTTTTTACTTTAAGGGGACTTTTGATGCTAACAAGATGTATGCAAGCGAATTGGTCGCTCTTTTACTGCAGCTGTCTGAATCTGCTAAACGAAAGCTCACCGAAAAAGTTGATGGTATTGACATGCTACTTCGTGTGAGTTCTTAACCTAAATAGCTTCCTCTTATCATGTCTCCTTTATACCACATACATTTTCACCGTTTTGTTTCCGTTTGTATCTGGCTCGAACACATATATTCATGGAAACAGAAATAAGCTACAGCGATACCAGTCATTTTGAAAACACTTTCATTGTTGTGTATTTTGTACATTATATGGTACAATGGAGAAGAGTGTTTGAGGCACTGGCCGCATATAAGAGACACGATCCTGAAACTCTGGATGAACGAGAGCATATGGAAAATCTATTTGATGCACTGTGTGCTGCTCTCATGTTGCCAGCTAATCGTGAGAAGTTCCTTGACGGTGAAGGACTGCAACTAATGAATTTGATGCTGAGAGAACGAAAGCAGTCAAGAGAAAGTGCTCTTAAGGTAGTTACTTTGTGAATGCTTAGTTATTACTTCACCACCTGTTTTGTTACTTTTTACTTGCACTCATTTTAGGTTTTGGATCACGCTACAACAGGCGCAGAAGGCAAGGATAATTGTAACAAGTTTGTGGAGATACTGGGTAGGCGATCATTTCATTGACGTTTCTCTCTCGGCTTTAATTTGTCTGAAGCCGACTACAATCATCGTCTTTGTTTTATTACCATTTTTTGCAGGGCCATTTTTTTATCTCGTTTCAGACTTCAATTTTTTTTCACCCTAGGGTTACGCACGTTGTTTCCTCTTTATATGCGTACGCCATCTAAAGTCAAGAGGAAAGACACTACCCCTGATGAGCACGAAGAGCACGTATGCGCAGTAAGTTCTTATGCTTGATTGTTACAGCCTTTGAATTAGAAAAGGAAACTTTTTCAGTCAGTTTTTTACCTATAAGTAACTGCAGTTTTCATTCTAAATTTCATCTTTTTTCCTTCTTTTTTCTTACAGATTCTTGCTTCACTTCTTCGTTCATGTGGAGATGAAGCTCGCCAGCGCATGATGAGTAAATTTGTCGAACATGAGCATGAGAAAGTTGACAGAGCGATAGAGTTATTTATAAAATACAAGTAAGCCTTTTTTATAGGTTATTATTCCTATAACATGAATTTGCTGAGGTTTTGGGTTCAGTGTTTGCTAATGAAATCCACATAACGTTTTCTGGCCATATTTTTGCCAATCTAGTATTGTTTAGCATTTAGCTTAGTTATCATATCCTATTATGCGATTTAGATAAAGGCACATATTAAAGCGCACAGTAGTCCCCAAGTCCTTATGAAAGAGAAAACGTAAAAAGTCGTACTTGGAACGTAGCGTTATATGTAAGTAGGAGTGTTTTTATTCTGTTATCAATATCGTCACCGGCTTTTAAATCGTTCGCCAAGTAGTAGGCAACTGCAGTTTGAGTTTTGAGTAGTCTTGGGGAAATCGGGCATGAGAAATAATTGGGTTTCGGAATTCCTTTTTTTCAAATCTAGCAAATCAAACTTTTTCCGGATTGCTAACATGTTTTTCACGTAATGAGGAGAATTTAACTTATTCTTGTCCTCAGTTTTATCACACATTGTGGATTTTGGCGTTACCGATTTAATCCGGGGTCACCATCTGATATTGTGGCTTGAAGCTTCGGTAGAACAAATAAGGCTTGAAAATTTTCATGCAGCACATTCTTAACACAGCAGACCATTTGTATTATCAGCAGACCATTTGTATTGCATTGCACGCGGTTTTGGAATGATGACCGCTTTGAACTTTAGCACACTTCAGCTGATAGTAAACTTTGTTCTTTAGAATACATAGCTTTAGAATCTATAGAATTTTGGCAATGAGTTGTAATTTTTCTTATTCTACACTAAACACTCATGGCTTCCTGAAGCGAACGAAACGTGTCTTCTTCGTCTAGTTCAAGTTATCCTCCATCATTAACCCCAGTCTATTCCAACCATATCTCAGGAGCCTTTGATTCACATTTCTAACTCCATCGTCAGTTTAAATGGGTAGACTTTCAAATTTCCCCTTTGAATCATCTTTCCCCTTCTAACTTGAAAAGTGGCGAAATTTTGCGAATCTTAGAAACAGCTAGGATTTGTCGTGCTAATTGAACGGCACACAATAAAATAACGGCAGTACCAATTGCTCCTACGTCCAAATAGCAAAAACTTGTGCTGTCATGTATATTTTAATGATAAACGCTGAAAGGCTCTATAATCGATTTATTCAACTTGAGAGAAAAGTTAGCGAAATTTGAAACGAAGCGTGGACGACGGGAGGATGGATCTGTGGATGAGGACGTAGACAGGTGGGTTAAAGCCTGTTTTCCTAAGGTCTTATTCTCTTTACCGTTTTCTACTGTCATTTTTCTACGGTTGCTTCAGGGAGTATCTTGATCGCTTGGATGCTGGCTTATACACGTTACAAAACCTATCGCTGATCTTGGCAGACGTTTGTAGTCACACAAGCTCAGCCCGACACCGTGCATCGAAGTTGTTCTCAATGAAGATGAAGCAGGAGAAGATTTCAAAAGTTCTTTTACCAGTATGTTTTTGTGATGTTTATTCTTCAAAGTGGAGCATAATTGAGAGCAACATTTCTTGGCAAATGTGAGGGCCGTTTATTCATTGCTTTTCAATTTTCAGCTCTTAACAGAATATCAGACGAATATTGGAGATGGAGGTGATGATGAACGTCGACGAGTAGACTTACTGATTGCGAGGTTAACGAAGGCTGATCGAGACAAGGATTGATTGCTGTCCACAGTAGAATATTTTAAAGTGTAAAAGTGATTAATTAAGGTTTTCAGAACGCTTCCTGTAATTTTATAGTGTCGTTTTTGTTAACATAAATGTAGCGTCACTTTCGTCGATCAAAAATCAGTTCGTTGTTCACTCCAGTACTTTTTTTACTGGAGTTTGTTGTTTACCACTTTCACAACGGCACATAATTTTGCGTTTTTGCGGAGCGAACAAAGCCTATTTTTGGCTGTTCTTACTGTGAGACCTAAAGGTATCTTGTCAGCCACTCGCACAGAACTGTTATGATACCCATAGGTGCGCGAGAGAGTTAAAAGCGGTCTCATTTATATCTTCGTTGTAATTATATTTTAATTTTTTTAAAACTGTTATATGCTGTCTTTTTCTTGTGTTTATTTCTCAGTTCTATATTGCGTTTCAAAACTCTGCTGCTTTTTTTCTGTTTGTTATCATGTGGTCAGCGCTAAAAGTCGCTTAATCTTTTGTTATGGTAATTAGTAACCGATAGGGGCTATAAATTGTGAATGAGAAATTGTAACTTTTTTAGGGCTATCGTGCTGCATCGTACCGTTTGTCCTTAACGAAGTATGGAGAGTGAAAAAAGGTGATTAGCCTTTTTGGCAGTGATTATTGCTTGTGCCTGCCATCTAAGGTGATTTTCTTATGGGTGGTCACTGTGGGAGTAGTGAGGGTTGCAGTGATTTTGTGTTAGGCCATAGTTTGGCAGTTGAGGGGATCGTTTTCAAGGACCACAAAGCATCATGTAGGGTCCAGCACAATCCATAGTCCACCGCTGATTTGCTGATCCACGAAAATGTCTTCATAGGTGTCCAAAGTGTGCAGAGGTTTTACCAGGTTCTTATTATTCACTATGTAGTGACGTCGCTGGTGCCATAGTAGTGATCGTTGCGACCGGTCTTCTCTTAACTATGCGTCTGGTCGAAATGTTGAACTCTTGCTCAGCTTGGGGCACGCTGCTGACATCTGGCCCTCCCGTGTTAGTTCTACATGCACTTCGACATACTCTAACCACCAGTAAACCCATCTGGGTGTTCTTAGTAATCGTTATATATTATATAGACAACTGGACAGAGCAAATCGTCGGTCCTTCATACGACTTTCGTTCTTCAGGAAGTTTCCCGACGTTTGCTCTAAATAATCTGAAGGAAAATGTATGAAAATTATGCAGTTTGGTGGTTGTTGGACATTTCTGAAATTCTTTGTAGAAGCATTGTATGAATCCCGTATTTTACTATTAGTATCAACCACAGCTTATTGAGCATACGTCATTGGCGCAGACAAGTATGTTGTGCGAATGAGTCGAGTAGACCTTAGCAATAATTAGAGGTAGACATATCATTATTTATGGCCCATCTTCACTAGTTGGTGGGCTCCAGAATAATTTCCATTTTTTCGGAGTTTTGCTGGTTTAGCCGAGGAGTTCGAGGTGAGCTTAACCAAAATTTGCTCAGGTCGTCAACACCCCAGACAGTCGTCGACCTTGTGGACCATAGGGAGATTTACCATCATGCGACTAGTTCGATACCAGGATGGTGGTGGGTCCTGGTGTTGGTTTGCTCTTAGCTGGGTTTCCTAGTAGAAACGCCGGGCTCCTCACTCTGGGAGGCCTTTCTGTGGGGGATGAATCACTGTCCATCGCAGCACGGCGCCCAGGAACACCTCACACCCACGATGAGGAGGTGAACCATTGGGAAAGCATAGGGAGCGGTAATAAAGAAAAACCCGGAAGTTCATACCATAATAAAGTCGAGCAAAAGGAGAGGCTAGATCATGAGTTAGCATATTTCATTGCAGTGACAAACCCAGATGTTGAGTTTTCTTTGCAGTAGCTTTCACGATACTCAGCCATTAGAGGAGGATGAGAGTACGGAGAAGTCGACGTGTAGTTCGGAATCATCTGCATCAATACAACCTGCTTACGCGAAACTGGAGCCTCTCATGGGTCTGCTACCACGAATAGGTTAGAGTGTTCAGGTATCTGATGCGGTATATTAAATCTAATATGAATTGGTGTCCAATGTCACTAGTGTATTGTGAGCTAATATTTAATCCGGTATTGAAATGATCAATTACTAGAAGTAGCTTATGGTCCCGTAGCGCAATGGACTGAGGCCCCCTGCAATATACATGGGATCGATCTCCGTGCCCAAGGCTCACTATGCCTTCCGTTCCTCTGTGGTTGGCGAATTGGCACCAGACTTGACTGGGAGGATAGGAGCACTGCTTCGATATATTGGTAGGCCAGCGCGAGTCATTGTATAGGCCAGATATGTATTCAATCATATCTTCAACGATGTTTAGTGAAGTCGAATGCATGGCGCGTTCTCATCATTTAGTGGACTAGCTATCTTTCTGAAGAATTCTCTTCATCACTATTTTGAGCCTGTTCAGCTCAACCGTATCTGTCGTCTCTACCTTTGCGTCGTTTTTCTCCTCTTAGCTCGCTTTGATACTTTTATTTCTGTCCTAGTTTTATCCTCCGTCTACCCCTTCTCTCCTTTTCTCATCATTGCTACTTCACTGCTCTTTTAAACAACTTGAGCATATTATTTCTACTTCCAATTTCTCTTCCCTATTTTTTCTCTTGTTGTTCATTTTTCGCGCAATTATGTCTTCTCGTAGAATCTCTTTGTATTTTTCTACACTTATCTCCCTTTAATGCGCGTTTAGCGCAGTGGTTAGAGACACCTTGCGACACACACGTGGTTCGTGGTTCGATCCCATACCACAGGTTCACCAAGCCTTCCTTCTCTCCAGGGTCGGCAAATTGGTACCAGACTTGTCTGGGAGAGCAGCAGCACTGGCGCCATACATCGATAAACTGTTGCAACTCATTCTATAGGCCAAATAAGCATTCACTCACCTCTCACGGTACTTAGTGAAGCCGAATGCATGTCGCATCCATCAGAGATTCATGAGCGCCGAGAGCTTTATCCTTTATACTTCATCTCTCATCTTGTCAGTCTGTCTATCTTCTCTTTTTCGTTCCTCTATCTTCATTTCCTTCAACTTTTATCTATGATTGTCTTTCTTTCACTGTACGCAGCTATTATACCAAGTGTTTTTTTTCGTTCCTTAACATGCTTACCATGTTAGCATTAAATCGTCTTCAACAATACTGAAATTGTATAATTTTGGAACTCCGAGATGCCACTTTCATCTGTGGTCGTGGACTCGCAGAACACGTGGATTTCAATTTTTCGGCTCTTCGGGACGCGAAGCATTGGATGTACGATATCATTAGCAAGCAACACTTTCGCTTGGACAGAGTGAGCATTTTCAACTGTCATTATTCGTTTACATTCGTAGACATTGGAATTTTCTGAAATATTTATTCTTACAGTTATTTAGATTGATGGGAGAACGATTCTCGGAGATTTGTCTTTTAACGGAACATTTGTCAATCAGAAGCTTATTGGGAAAGGCAACGTTCATGTGTTGGACAATGGCGATGTGATTAGTTGTGCTCGGAAGGATTTGCACGGTACCATCATTGCTTACACTTAACGTAGAACTTTTATTTGAAACTGCCCTATACCCAGCCCAGCCTAACTTCCATTTTTTCGGAGTTTTACTGATTTAGCCACTGTGGTTTCCTGAAGTCCCGAGGATTGCCTGGCCAGAGTCTGTCACAGGTCGTCTCCACCACGGGCAGTTGCCCTCCTTGTGGATCCAAGGGAGATTTGGCACCATGCGACTACTTTAATACCAGGATGGTGGTGGATCCTGGTATTGACTTACTCCTAGTTGGGCTTCATGCTGGGAACGCCGGACTCCTTCTCATCACGGGAGACTGCCAGTGGGTTGAATACTCTCGCTGTACATCGCAACCCGACACACAAGAATACCTCTCAGCCACCATGAGGCGATAAACCGTTTGGAGGAGCCTATAGCTGAGCATTTATTTTAAGCTCAGTAGATTTAGTTCAGTTGCACTTGATCCTAGGCGTTATGTCAAATTCCCTTCGGACCTTTCTAACGGTCTACTTTTTTTCTCACTCAGTTTTTCTGTTTTTGGGTGTTTCCAAAAATAATGCACTTTGCTCTTATTTTCCATTATGGAAGTTTGTTCCACTAGTGAGTTGCTCTAAGCAATAGAAACTTGTTTCCAGTCTTCCTCTACGAAGAAAATTGCTCACAATCCTATCCAGCTGCGCTTACAAACAACTATATTATGACTAATACATCGCTAGGAAAAGGAGGTTATGGTGTGGTAAGATTTCATTTAGATTTTCTTTTATGATTTCATACACTCATGCTATTTTGTACCACTTAATTTGTGGATATTTCATGAGAAACGAGGATCCAATGAGTTGCTGTAACAACATAGAAGGTCCGTAGAGTATCTCTTTCTAAGTTCACCTGGGAAGTATCTAGGAGTAAATTTACTAAATCTATTAAGTTTTAGGTTTTTATTTACATGATACCTTCGTAGGTCGGATGTAACAGAGTGGTTAAAGGTGAACTGAAGAAATTCACATTCAGCCAACCATCTGCGGTATTCGCTTGGTGGGCTTAACTGTGAAGTTTAAGCTAAATTTACCCCTAAATTCGGATTTAACACTTCATAGTTGGTGGATGCATGACAACTATTCCAGTTAAGGAAATGCTGGCATTCACACTTTGTTTAAAGGAGGATCATATAAAGATTTTGCCACAAATGGCTGGGTGTACAAGCTGTTTTCAGCTGTGTCGATATACACAAACGTGTTTCTAAGTGTGTTACACATACAAAAGTGACATATACATACACATATGTATGTGTACATAAATATGTACTTTTGTTCTTTCTCCAAACTTCAAACGGTAGTGGTATCCCGGCTTCGACATACATCTAGAATCCGTCTTCAATTTACTCACTCTATTTGTAAATTAATGCTCTTACGTTGTTGATATTACTTATTCTAAGTGTCTAGAATACCTCTATCTAAAATACATTACCTAAAAAAGGTACATATAATCTACAACGAAAA